TTGTTTCTTGTGTGTCTGCTCTCTGCAATGCTAACACAACATCAAAGCCACCAGTGCCTCTTTCCTAAAGGTTCCTGCTGCACAACCCAGAGGGGGATAAAAGGCTTGTCATTAGGAGAGGGTTGGGATGTGTTTTGATTTTTCTGCTAAATTTGTCTTTACAAAGAACAGAACCTCTCCCTCTGTCTCCCTGTGATGCCAGTGCACAGTACCTATCAGTTCTTTTTTTTTGGGTCTGGTCGTGGGGCCTAAACTCTGGGCCTGGGCGCTGACCCTTAGCTCTTCAGCTCAAGGCTAGCACTCTACCACTTGAGCTACAGTGCCACTTCCGGCTTTTTTCTTTTTGCTTATGTGGTGCTGAGGAATCGAACCCAGAGCCTCATGCAGGCAAGGCAAGCGCTCTACCACTGAGCCACCTTTCCAGCCCGTCACGCTTATCAGTTCTGAACATGGCCAAGTGTGGACATCCCTGCCATCCTCATCTTTCACTTCACTCACATTTCAATGTTTTGTGAAGTTGCCTCTTGGCCTTCTCTAGCCTCTGTCTGAAGCTCCCACCCCGTTGGTTCCCGTGGTCTGTGTCAAGAGGAGCCAACTTATTTGGTTGTGCAGACCTGAGGAGTAAGCTAGAGGAGAGGCCAGTGCTGCAGGCATTTACAAGCCAGGCAATTAAGACTTGTCATGGTGTAAATCATTCTTGGGGTTGAGGAAAAGGGCCTTTTGCTAGAGTTCCAGATAAAAACTAATATTTTGAAGCAAAAAACTTAGCAGACTTTTGATGGTTCTTCCTGCCACAGAAAGGGTTTACAGAACACAATGATAATAGAAAAATTTCTTTGACTTACGTGGAATGACAGTCAAACTTGTCCCCGTCCCAAAGTAGAACTGGTTACTGTTTTGCACTGTGATAGGAAGCTCAACAAAAACCAGAGCCAGAGTTGACACCTGGGGCCTCACCCAACCCCACCCGGGCTGTGCAGGCAGCACGGCAGGAGGCAGGAGGCATCTTTCCTTTTTGCCAGAGCAAGTGAAGAGCTATGGGAAGAAGCTCCAGGGCTTAGAGCAGCTGGAGGGACATTCCTCTGGAGATAGGATTAAAAAGAAGGCTAATATTCATCTTGTATTGCTCACTGTCTAATTAAAGGTGTAGGCTCGTTTGCTTTATACTTGGGCATTTAAAAATTCTTTTTATTTTAGGACTTAATTTCTCTCTTGATGATCGTCTGATTCTGAAATGCATTTTTAATCAGGATTCCTTAGGACATCTTTTGAGTCTGGGAAGGATTTTATTTCAGCAAGAAAACGTTTCTCTGAATGCTCATGGCTTGTGCCTAGAATCTTAGCTATTCAGGAGGCTGATATTCTGGTTCAAAGGGTAGGAAAGTGGGTACGAAAGTCTGGGAGACTCTTGTCTCAATTAATCAGCAAGATGGTGGAAGTAGAGTGGTAGAGTACCAGCCTTAGTGATAAAACTAAGGGACAGCACCGAGGCCCTGAATTCAAGCCCCTGTACCAGCGCAGGCACACACACACACACACACACACACACACACACACACACACACACACACACACACACACGAGTCTCTTTATAGAACTTCTGGAAAAATTCTTTTCAGGTTAACCTAGTCAGAGTCTCTGATCAGTTTGCTGCTTTCCAACCTGTTTCATTTTTAGTACCCCATTAACTGTGCCCTTTCATCCCACTATGTTCCCCACATGAAAATGTATGGTAGATCACAGGTTGGTTTTTTTGTTTTTCGTTTTTTTTTGATTACCACTTTCAAGTCTCATATTCTCCATTCACCTTTTAAAAACTAAACCTATGTTTTCCATTCTTTGACTTCTTTTTCTGATCAAGGTAATATATCCCGAATCCTTCAGCTTTGTATCTTCAACCACTCTGCACCTACACAGACATTTGAGTCCTCTGTCTGTGACTGCCTGTGACTGTCAGCCTCACCATACTCCCCAGGCACCATGGAAACTTACTTGGAATGACCAACAAGCTTGTCCCTTGCTCAAATATCAACCGGCTGTAGGAGCTGCCACACAGCAACCCAGCACTTCACAATAACTGACAGGCAAGTCTCAGAGAGCACAGACCCCAGTCTTTTATGATGCTATTCAAAAAGGCATCTCAGAGAGTGTTCAGCATTACCTATGGGATCTGAGTTGGAGCCACACTTAGGCCAGATTCTATGTCATTGCAATTTTTTCTTCCTCCTCCTCCTCCTCCTCCTCTTCCTCCTTACCTCTTCCTCCTCCTCCTCCTTCTTCTTTTGAGAAGAGACATTGGGATTTGGACTCAAGGCCTTGCACTTGCTAGGCAGACACTCTACTACTTAAGCTACATTCCAGCCATAATTTCTAACACATTATAGGTGTAAAAGCATCACCAATCTGCCTGTCCTCTCCACCCATCTCTACTATCCCTTTATCCATCCAACTTTCCTCATCTGCATCTCATTTCCATCTCCAAGCCTTAGCTTGGTGACACCAGGTCCACAGGTACATTGATCTGCCTTCTCTGAGACAGCATATGTAGTTTTGCACATCACCAGCATATCATGACTTAAAGGACTGGAAATGCCAGGCTCTCAGAGGTTGAGATCTAGGCTCCCCATTTCTAATCTCTGGTCAATATGTTGTTCTCATTTGTCTGGCTAATGAAAAGCTGACCTTTCTAAGTGGATTTTTTTTTTCCTGAAATGACAACTGCTGGATAGCTAAGAACAAAGACTGAGCTCTGAAGGCAGTTTGGCCTTTCAGACCACTTTGGCATATTTCAGTCAATTGGATCCCAGGCTCAAATGTCAACCTCTCAGGATTGGCTCTTACATTACTGAGCTGAGGGACACACAACTAAAATTTGGTCCAATCTGTGCCCTGCTCATCAGAACTAGACTTCACTTAGAAGGATCCTGAACATTTGAGCTATTTTCACAACTCACTATTTAGTCTAGAAGTAGCACAGGCACATTTAAGCTCCACACCCACCTGGTGTAAATTTATTCTGTTATACAGAAGAGCAAATAGAGACAGTGATCTAAGAGGGCTCCTTGGCACACACAGAACTCCGACTGAGCAACTGTGCCACACAGAGTAGCTACTCCAGGAACTGAGGCTGGGCGCATTGCTTTACATGAGAGGACACTGTCTCCCTTGAGATTGTGAGGAAAACAAAGTGCTCTATGGTAACAATTGCAGTTATTTTCTTTGATATCTACCTTCCAATTCATTCCATATTGAAATCCATATTCCTGCTTAAAGTTTTCTTTTTCCTATCTCTTGTTCTTTTTTTGTTTATCATTTGTAAGCACCCAATGCTCTCCAATTTCTAGGCCTTCCTTAATCCAAACTCATGGGTTTTTAAAACAATAACAACAACAACAAAAACCACCTAAAAATAAAGACCTAGCTGGGCATGGTGGCTTAAGCTGTAATCCTAGCTACTTGGTAGTTGGAGATGGGAGAATCGAGATTCAAGGCTATCCTGGGTCTAAAAGATTGAAAGACTCCATCTCAATCAATGGCTGGGCACAGTAGTGTGTACCTGTCATTCTTAGAGACACAATAAAGCACGAGAAGGAGGATCTCAGCCTAGGCTATCTTAGGCATAAGATGAGACACTATTTTCAAAATAACCAGTAAAAAATGGTTGGGACTTATCTAGCAAATTGCCTGCCTTGAAAGCTTGAGGCTCTAAGTTCAATTCCCTAATACTGCCACTAAGAAAGAAAGAAGGAAAGCCCAAAGATAGGAAATGGGTTGGGGAGCAAAAAGAAAAGAAACATGGGGGACACCAGAGTTTGGGTCTCTGCAGCCATGTGGTTTCATTGTTATTTGAGTCTCTTTCCAAATATCAGCCTCTCTTAGCTGTCACACATCTGCCCGCAGCAGGGAGGTTTACAACTGACAGAAGGAACTTTATGAATCTTAAAAATCAGTGCATTTCTTTCTTTTCCCAGTGGGATGCTGCTGCAAACACACCAAAGCCAAATTTTTCTATCTGCTCTAATTATCAGCAAGGATACAGGTTCCAAGTCACCAGGAGGAGGAAGGTATTAAGCCTTGTACCAGCGACTCTTTAGAATTAATTGTCTTTGCTTGTTCAGAGATACAGAACGGACATGGTGATCACCTATTTCTGCCCATCCTCTCTTTCTCTGTTTTTGTAGTTTTGCACTTACAGAAGCAGTAGAAGACATGCAGGGAACACAGAGGGATTTGAAATAAGACCTCAAATTCCCATTCTGTTTTCAGTTTTTCCTTCTCTGCTTTCATTTAAAACTCATTCAGAAAGGAAAACCACATACCTATTCAAACCCAGCTCTCAATTATCCCTGTTGACTATCGGGTGATCCTGCTGGAAATTGCCTCCGCTGTGCCAAGAAGATTTAAGATTGATATAAGGAAGAACTTTCTGATAGAAAGTGGTGTTAAAAAAACCAGATTGGTTTATTTAGAAGCAATTAGCTGGGAAGGTTCACCTCTAAGAATGGACCTCACATGCAGAAAAGGCTCTGAAAGCAGGAAACCCTCTTAACTTTGTAAGAACAAGGTCAGTTTTACTCACAGCAAGGGGAGAAGTAGAGTCAGAGTAACAAATGGAATGTATGCATATTGAAATTGAGACAAGAAAGGACCTTGGACAACACCAGTTAACTTCCAGCCAGATCAGGCTCTTAGAAAACCAACATTTCTGGGCTGGGAAGGTGGCTCAGTGGTAGAGCGCTTGCCTTGCATGCCTGAGACCCTGGGTTCGATTCCTCAGCACCACATAAGCAAAAAAGAAAAAAGCCGGAAGTGACGCTGTGGCTCAAGTGGTAAAGTGCTAGTCTTGAGCTGAAGAGCTGAAGACAGCGCCTAGGCCCAGAGTTCAGGCCCCACGACTGGACCCACCCCCCAAAAAAAAGAAAACCAACATTTCTATTAAATGTGACACCTGGGCTGCAAGTCCAGAATTTGCAGCATGCTGTGTGTCCTGTTACACTTACTTGGATGAACGGTAAGCATGGTCCCTTGTCCAAATGACAGCTTTCCATAGCCACCACCACCGCTGTTAGCACAGTAACACAGGCCTTTACAAGAACCCCAGAGAGCTTCCTGTGGCTCCAACCACCTTTCTGTGTGTGTGTGTGTGTGTGTCTGCACACCTATATAGAGACTTGAACTTAGGACCTGAGTACAGTCCCAAAGTTTTTTTTTTCTCTCTCTTTTTTTTTTTTTGGGTCCGGTTGTGGGGCCTGAACTCTGGGCCTGGGCGCTGTCCCTCAGCTCTTCAGCTCAAGGCTAGCGCTCTACCACTTAAGCCACAGTGCCACTTCCGGCTTTTTTCTTTTTGCTTATGTGGTGCTGAGGAATCGAACTCAGGGCCTCAGGCATGCAAGGCACGCGCCCTACCACTGAGCCATCTTCCCAGCCCCAGGTTTTTCTCTCTTAAGGCTGGTGCTCTACCACCTCCAGTTTTTTGGTGGTTGTCTATAAGAGTCTTATGGACTTTTCTACATAGGTTAGCTGTAAACCTCTATCTCAGCCTCCTGAGTGGCTAGGATTACAAGTGTGAGTCACCAGCACCTGGCCTTTATTTATTCATTTTTTTTTTCAAAAATTAAAAAAATATGTAAATTCTGGCAAAAAAAAAATCCACCGAAAAAGGTGGATTGGGCCCATGAGGTTGAGTTTCTTCCTCACAAGGCCAGAAGACCCTCTCTGGTGGTCCTGGGTCTGTTCCCCAGGTTTGCCTCCTATCTCCTTTTGCTTCTTCTCATTCCATCCTGAGGCTTACTGATTTCTTATGTTCAGCAACTCTCTTTCTAAAGGTCTCATTTCCATTTTACAGCATCATTTTCAGGACAATTTCTCTGATCAGTTTTCAAGGCATGTCCTTTCTTCCCCTCGAGGTGTCACATATTTCTGATGACTATGAATTGATTACAAGGAGACAGGAGGAGAGTGTTCATCCTTTTGGAGGCTGACTAGAATTAGATGAGATTTAGCTTCCAGTCTCCTGAAACACTGTCTCCTGAGCTTCCTTCATGCCCTAGCATAAGAAAGGAAAATGATGGACACCTTGAACTGAGCCTTCAGACAACTTGGCTTTTCTGTCAGTCTTGAACCTGGTCAAGTGTAAGTAGGAGCTCACCGAAGGTTTACACCAGGGCCTTGCTGTGGTGATTAACTATTATGGAACTGTTCTGGAAAGCACTTCAACATTGGGAAAATCTGGGGATCTGATCCCCATGCACTATCAGCCAGATGTTAAACCTCATAGTGCAGCCAGCCCAATGGCCAGAGTGGCAGAGTTAGGTGATGTCTCTACAGCGGGTAGGATCTTGAGTATTTACTTGGGGTTACAGTCAATGTTTTCCTCTCACTAAATAAACATCCTATTGCTGGCATTCACACTACAGGAATTTGGGGTTCTCATTGACTCTGTCTAGTGGATATCACAGAAATTTTAAAAATAAAAATTTAATCAGTGTATGTAATACATGGTTTGATAGTATTCAAATCCTACCCCTCAAGAACAGATATTTTAACTCTTTACCTGAATTGAACTTTTAAACTGTTCGGAGCCGAGCCAAGTGCCAGTGGCTCAGGCCTGTAATCCTAGCTACTCAGGAGGCTGAGATCTGAGAATCGAGTTTCAAAGCCAGCCCGGGCAGGAAAGTTTGTGAAACTTTTATCTCCAATAAACCACCAGAAAGCTGGAAGTGGTGCTGTGGCTCAAGTGGTAGAGCACTCGCCTTGAGCTGAAGAGCTGAGGGCCAGAGTTCAAGCCCCATGACCGACCAAAAAAAAAAATCTGCCTGGCTGGCTTTCAACCTCAATTCTCAGATTTTAGACTTCTGAGTATTTAAGATTACAAGTGTGAGCTAGGCAACTATTAATTTTTTTTTTTTGGTCCAGTCGGGGGGCCTGAACTCGGGCCTGGGCGCTGTCCCTCAGCTCTTCAGCTCAAGGCTAGCGCTCTACCACTTGAGCCACAGGGCCACTTCGTCTTTTCTCTTTTGGCTTATGTGGTGCTGAGGAATTGAACCCAGGGCCTCATGCATGCAAGGCAAGCACTCTACCACTGAGCCACCTTCCCAGCCCCAACTATTAAATTTTTTTAAATTATATTTTTATTGTCTTTAAGTAGTTAAATTTTTTTCACTGAGTTTATGCTAGCTTCTCTGATCATCTCAAACAATTGCTTATTAGTAAAAGGCTAAAGTTTTATGTTACTTGCTATCATAGGAAAAGGTTGTCATTAGAAAAGGCTAATAGTTAAGAATCTATCTGTCTTAAGGACAGCAATCAGGGTATAAACAGCTCTTCACATCTTTTAATTTTCTTAGTATTTAATGTCAAAAACAAGTCTCTGTTCCCCCATCCCATCTCCCCCATAGGACACAAGAAACAAATGTCTGCCCTCAGCAAAATCTCTCAGAGACGTGGGTACCAAAGTGTTGATGTGGAAATAGTCTGTGTTCTGCTGATAGAAGGAAACAAAATTGAATCCCGGATTCATTGGACTGCATACAGCCCTTGCCTGTAGTGCCCCCACTCCTTCCACACCCCCCTCCACCCCCGCCCCTCTGCTGTATAGGAAATGCAGCATCTGGAAGGATTCCTGCCTTGAGCAGGCATTTTCTTTGCATGGTGGTGAGTTTGTCAAACTCTAGCCTCTCCAGCACTTTAAAGGGCAGGGGTTATTTTGGCTCTCAGACCCCCAAAGAGTCCAACCAAGTGTGGGAGGAGTTCCTAGTTTCTCTCTGCATTCTGGAAAACCCAAGTCCTTGCCCTAATGTGTTTCCAGTAAGACAACAAAGAAAACCTACTGTCTGGTCCTCAGCCTTGCTTGCCTGCCCTGTGAAAAGCGAAAAGATTCCTAGAATCTCCTGGGATGTTTATGTGAATCCCCTTGAAGCTTTAATTTGATAAGCCCTCAGGGACTGCTGAATGTGGAATTTGACAACATGATGTATTATTCATTGTTTCTATTGTCCCATATGGGCTGATTGTGTCCCTGCTGAGTGAGGCACTTCTGCACACGAGAACTTCCTAGCTAACCAAACCACATGCTCTTCAGTCAGGGACTACCCTATCTAGAACATTCCAAGCTCTGTGCCACCAGGTTGCCTTAAGACCTCAGGGCTGCACACATAATGCCACTTCTAGTCCTTTTGCCACAGTCTTTTTTTTTTCTTAAAAAAACTATCTTTAGATAGTTGTACAAAAACTTTTTTTGATTTAATATGCCAACTTATGAGTAAAATGAGTAAAGTGCCAGGACTTGAACTCAGAGCCTGGGTACTATCCCTTAGCTTTTTTGCTCAAGGTTGGCAATCTACCACTTGAGCCACAGCTCTACTTCTGCCTTTTTGCTGGTAATTGGAGAAAAGGATAAGAGTCACATAGACTTTCCTGCTCAGGCTGGTGTTTGAAGGATTGACCCTCACCCTATTGTCCCAGGTCCATACAGATGCCAGGCAAACCCCCAGGTATGTGTGAATTTGTTTGATATGTTGGCAGGGCAATCCACCTAAGCCCAGTTGTAAATATCCCATTGTGGGGCCAACTGAAAAGCCCCCACCTCCCTTGACCTAGTGGCTTTTTCATTAACCTCTGCCTCCTTGCTCAGCCTTCACACACACAAAAAAACCCAGCTTCTGTCCCAACTCTCTGGCACAGCCTCCAAACCCGCGGGAAAGTCTGTGCCCCTTGCTGTTCCTCAATAAACAGTCCTTGCCTATTGATGATTGAATCCGGCCTATTCCTTTTTTGCTCTCCTCCATTTTCCCAAAAGTGTTGAACCATGATCATCAGATCTCAGTCTCGTGAGTGGTAAGGATTATAGGCTGAGCCATTGGTGCCCAGCTCATTTTCCCAATCTTTTAAAGACCTTTGCCTGGACTGTATTTTTCAATGTACCTCTCCTAGTGTGACTCTTTCATTGACTGTAGGTAACAGAGCTGAATAAGTGAACTAGGGTATGTGGCCTTAACTCAACATCAAGGACACTTAGCTTATGTCAGAAGGAGACTGGAGTCCTTTAGACTTTCCCTATTTTCACTCTACCTGAATTTTAGAACAAGTCAGTCTCCCCAGCACTAATTTAAAAGCACTGTTCTCAGAAGCCTCCTAGCAACACAGATTTTAATAAGTGCCGATAGCGACCATCATCTCTTGCTTTTACATCTCAGATTTTTAACTTTTCAGCACACACCCTCGCTTTGACAGAGGGGGGTGTTTATGGAAAGGACTATACGAATTTCCCTCTATCCACAAGAAAACTTACAGGGGAGGCTGAATCAAACATTTTGGTTACTAAGGGAAAAGAGAGGTTAAAAACTCCTCTGCCTGACAGATGAATGGAGAGAGGAAGGGTGGGCAAATGCAGTTGTGAAAATGTATAACTTGAGAGGAGAGAAGGGGTTGGGAGATAGGAGAGAATGATGAGGGTGATGTTGATCATTATGAACGTACTCAAAGTGACATGTTGAATCTAAACCTTTTTGTATGACTACTTAATGGTAGTTTAAAAAGTTTTTTTTTTTTTTAAAGCTCTGTCTCAGTTAACAAGACAATTCAATTCCACTCATGGAAACTATAAGACTAGTATTGAGAATCGATCCTTTGAGAGAGAAAATAAAGAAGGTAGAAGAAATCTGCCTGTGGAATTTCCAGCATTACTTAATGAAATTGCAGGTCCCGTTATTTCAGGAGATAAATTTAGGAGAGTTTTAGTATCTACATCAGAAAGATTTATATTTGGTCTACTGAATTTGCATAGTCACAACACGCCAATTTCCTCTCTATCTTTTTGGCAAACATTTCCTGGCCTTAGCAGAATCCCTCCAGATCCTATTTCAATTTTCCTCACTGCACCAATAATTTCAGTTAAGATGGATGATAGCAATGGTTTTGACTGAAGATAATTTAGTTTTTGTACAATGGCATTCTAATCCCTCCAATGAGGACCATATTCCCTTTGCCCCCCTCCCCAGTACAAACTTTAGATTTGGAAGCTAAGCTGGGATATTTTGGAGGGGTG